GCTACATACATTGAGCGTGACATACATACATACATACATACACTCATCATCATATACATACATACATACGTGCATGCATACATACATACATACATACATACATACATACGTGCATACATATATACATACATACATACAACATATATCATACAGCATGCATATACATACATGTATACATATATACTTGCGTACATACATACGTATGTACATTCATACATACATACATACATACATACATACATACATACATACATACATACATATGTGCATACGTACATACGTACATACATATATACATACTTATATACATATATGCATGCATACACATACATACATACATACATACATACATACATACATACATACATACATACATAACATACATGCATATATACATACATATGTGCAAACGTACATATGTACATACATATATATATACATACATACATACATACATACATTCTCCCTCTCTACCTCCCCTCCTTTATCCTCTCTTCTTTTCTCTTCTCGCCTCTCATCTCTCCTCTCGTCTCTCCTCTGATACTCTCCTCTCTTTCCCTTCCCTGCTTTCCTCTCTCCTCTTCTTCCCCTGTTATCTTCTCGTCTCGCATGTCCTCTCCTCGTCGCTTTTCTTTTTTTTATCTTTGTCCCCCCCCTTCTCACCCCCCCCCCCTCTTCTCCTCTCCCCTCTCCTCCTCATCTCCCCTGCTCTCCCTCTTCTCTTCTCGCCTTTTCTCTTTCTTTCTCTTCTTCTTTTCTCGCCTCCCCAGTTTCCTCTTCTCGTCTCTCTTTTCCTCTCGTCGTCTCTCCTGCCTTCTCTATCCTTCTCTTCTCTTTTTCAATTCCTGCTTTTCTTCTTCTGTCTTCTCTGTCCTTCTCTTCTATAGCATTCTTCCTTTTCTTTTCCTGCTTTTCCTCTTCTTTCCTCTCTATCCATCTCTTCCTTCATTTTGTTCTCGTCTATCCCTTTTTCGCTTCTCCTTTACCCTTTCTTCTTACCTTTCTTTTCACTCTTCCTTCCTTTTCTTCTTTCCTTCCCCATTTTTCTTGCCCTCTTTTATCATGAGTCTTGTCTAGACGACCCTTCAACCTCCCTCCCCCCCCTCTTGGTCTCACCTCTCTCACCTGGTTACCCTCACGCAGACATTTTATTCCCCACTCCCCTTCTTCCTCCTCTTCCCCTTCCTCCTTCCTCCTTTCTTCTTCTTTTTTTTCTTTTCCCTTTTCTCTCCCTCATATTACTCCTCCTTCCTCTCTCCCTTTTCCTTCTCCTCCACCTCCACTTCTTTCTCCTCCTTTTCCCTCCTCCTCCTCCTCCTCCTCCTCCTCCTCCTCTCCTCCTCCTATTTCCCGGCCACAACCCCGTTTCCCCCGGACTGCGATCTGACACAATCCCTCACCTCCCCTCAATTCTCCCCTTCCGTCCCTCCCGTCCTCCCCCTCCTCCCCCCTTCCTCTTCCTCCCCCTCTCCCCCCTCCGCCTCTCCGCTTCTAGTGCATGATAGCAGTTCTCCAACACTTCCCTCTCTTTCACACACTCCTCGTCAACCCTTCCGGCAGCCTCTCCCCTCCCCCCCCCCCTCTTCTCTCTCTTCTCTGACTTAGTTCCTTCCAGCTCCCGCTATTTCCCTTCAGCTCCTTCTCTAGACTTCCCATGCATACCTTTCTCTCTTCCTTTCCCCGTCCGCTCCCTTTCCATCCCTTCTCTCACTCTCTCCCTTTCTCTTCTGTTCCCCACCTTTCCTTTTTTCCTTCTGTTCTCCCCTCCTTTCCTTTGCTCGTCGTGATCACCCCTTTCCCTCCCTCCTCCCTCTCGCCTTCCCCTTCCCTTTCTCTCTCTCTCTCTCTCTCTCTCTCTCTCTCTCTCTCTCTCTCTCTCTCTCTCTCTCTCTCTCCTCTCTCTCTCTCCTCTCTCTCTCTCTCTCTCTCCTCTCTCTCTCCTCTCTCTCTCTGTCTCTCTCTCTGTCTCTCTCTCTCTCTCTCTCTCTCTCTCTCTCTCTCTCTCTCTCTCTCTCTCTCTCTCTCTCTCTCTCTCCTCTCTCTCTCTCTCTCTCTCTCTTCTCTATCTCTCTCTCTCTCCTCTCCCCTCCCCCTCTTCTCTCTCCTCCTCACCCCTTTCCCTCCCTCCCTCTCACACCCTCTCCTTTCTCTTCTGTCCTCTCCACCCCTTTCCATCTCTCTTCCTGGCCCCCTTTTCTACCGCCCCCTTCTCCCCCCTTCCCTACCCCCTCCTTCTCCACTCCTTTCCTTTCCTCCCCTCTCTCCCCACCACTCTCCTTCCCCCCCTCTCTCCCCCCTCTCCCCCCTTTCCCACCCGTCGCCGCCCTCACGACGCCAACCGACCGACGGGGGCGACAGCCACGTGCCCGGCATGATTTAAGGGGCGGTTGGTGGGTGACGGAGGGAGGGAGGGAGGGTGTGGGCAGCCAGGTGGAAGGAGGGCGAGGAGGAAGGGAGGAGGGAGGAGGAAAGGGGGGAAAGATTGAGGAGAGGGAGAAGGGAATAGGAGGAGGAAGGTGAGGGAGGGGAGGGGGAGGAGGGATGGCCAGGTGGAACGGAGGAGGGAGGAGGGGGGGGAGGGGGAGGAGAGGGGGATGTTGAGACGGAGGAAGATAAAGAGAGGGTGAAGAGGGGAAATGGAGTTGGGTGGGGAAGAAAAAAAAAAAAGAGAAAAAGTAGCAGGAAAATAAATAACCAGTGAAAGGTAACAAATATATGAAGTGAGGGGAAGGAAAAGTAAGAAGAAATAACAAAGAGGGGGGAAAGCAAGACGAAAATGAGAAACGGAGGGAAAATGACAATAACAAAAGTCGAAGGAAAATTATTCAGCGGAAGATGTGATTGCGACACCGATGCTTGTGAGACAGAACGGAAATGACGGTGGGGGTGGACGGCGAAGGTGGAGGTGGAAGTGGAGGCGATGTGGGATGTGGGATGGAAGTTGTATGGGTGAAGGGGAAGGTGGAAGTGGAAATGGTGGCAAAGGTGGAGATGGAGGTGGGCTAGAGGCGGAGGTAGAAGCGGGGGTTGAATTGGAAGTGGGGGAAGGAGGGGGGGGGGGAGGAGGTGAAGGTGGAGATGGAGGTGGAAGTTGAGGCGAGGGTGGAGGTCGAGGTTGAAATGGAAGAGGCCCACACCACCTCCAATCCCCCGATGGAGATGGTATGGGCGAAGGGGAAAGTGGAAGGGCGGAGATGGAGCTAAAGGCAATGGCGGAAGTGGAGGTGGAGGTGGAAGAAGACACAGTAGAGAGCGGTATTGCAATGGGAGGGGGGGTATGGGGGTGAGGGGGTGGGGGAGTAAAGGAGGGAGAGAGCGAGGAGGGAGACTAGTGAGGGAGAGTGACAACGGTGGAAGGGAGTTTAAGGTGGAGTAAAGGCGTTGGAGATGAGGTGGAAGAGTGGAAGTGGAGGGAGAAGAGGATGAGGTGGATGATGAGGTTGAGGGTAAGGAAAAGGAAGAGGTGGAGGAGGAGGAGGTTTTAGGACTGCATGACAGAGAGAGGAAGAGGGGGAGACGGAGGGGAGAGGGAGACGGAGGAGGAGAAGGAGAGGGAGACGGAGAGGGGGAGAGGAGACGGAGACGGGAGAGGGGAGAAGGAGACGGAGACGGAGACGGAGAGGGAGACGGAGGGGGAGATGGAGAGAGAGAAGAAGATTAGGGAGAGAGAGAGAGAGAAGAGAGAGAGAGAGAGAGAGAGAGAGAGAGAGAGAGAGAGAGAGAGAGAGAGAGAGAGAGAGAGAGAGAGAGAGAGAGAGAGAGAGAGGTGGGGTGAGGCGGGGAAGGAGGGAGGTGGGGGTGAGGAGGAGGGGGTGGGGTAGGGAGGTATTTCCTCGTGTAATCGGAGCAGCCAATGAGACACGAGGATCAGCTGCTCAAAGGTTAGGTTGGCCATCACCTGTTGCTCTCATCTCCTCTCCCCCCCCTCTCCTCTGTCCTCTCTCCTCCCCTCTCCCCCTCCCCTCTCCCCTCTCCTCTGTCCTCCCCCTCCCCCTTCTCCCCTCCCCCTCCCTCTGTCCTCTGTCCTCTTCTCTCCCCTCTCTCTCTCTCCATCTCCCCCTCCTCTCCCCCTCTCCCCTCTGTCCTCACCCCATCTCCCCCTCTCCCTCTCCCTCTCCCCTCCTCTCCCCTCTCCCTCTCCCTCTATCCTCTGTCCTCACCCCTCTTCCACCCCTCCTCCCTTTCTTCACTCCACATCTCCATCTCCCCCTGTTCTACTGTCCTCCTCCTCTTCCTCCTCCTCCTCCTCTACCCCTCTCTCCTTGTCCTCTTCCCTTTCTCCCCCTCTCTTTTCTCTCTCTCTCTCCCCTCTCCCCTCTGCCCCTGTTCTCCTCTCCCTGCCTTCTCCCCTTCTCACCCTGTCCTTCCTCCCCTCCTTTGATCCCTCTCTTCCCCGTCCACTCTTCTTCTCTGCCTATCCTCTCCCCCTCTCCCCCTCCCCTTGTCCTCTCCCCCCCTCCTCTTCCTCTCATGTGACTTGGGTCTTCGCATGTTGTCATGTCAGTTTGTCTTTTTATTTTCCTATTTTATTGTATCCTTTTATTTTGTGTGTTGTCTTTTTTATTGTCTCTCCTTTTTTGTGTTGTCTTTTGGTTTTTTATTGTATCTCCCTTTTATTTTGTGTGTTTGTTGTCTTTTTTCTCTTTTTTTTATCCTCGGTGTTTTGCAGGATATTCTTCAGCATTAATCCCTTGCGACAGATGTTTACGTTTGGGAGAGATAAAGAAGAAAAAAGGGAGGGAGGAGAGGGAGAAGGAGTAAAGAGGAAGGTAGAAGAAGAAGAAAAGGGGAAAAGGGGAGGGGAAGGGTAAGAATAAAAGGAGAAGAAGAAGGAAAGAAGATTAAAATGATAATAATAATAATAATAATAATAATAATAATAATAATAATAATAATAATAATAATAATAATAATAATAATAATAATAATAATAAAACTAGATAAAAATAAAAAGTAATAAGAAAATGAAAACGGTGCACACACACACACACACACACACACACACACACACACACACACACACACACACACACACACACACACACACACACACACACACACACACACCACACACACACACACACACACACACACACACACACACACACACACGAGCACATGAGGCACATTGGACACCCTCTCCCTTCCCTCCCCCACCTCTCCCTCCCTCATGGCCACCATTCTCTCTCTTACCCTTTCCTACCCCTCCACCCTCGCTTACCCCTTCCCTCCCCCCCCCTCCTTTCCTTCGCCGGACAGGGCACCTCTTACCATAACAAAGCTCCAAGTCGCGTGACAATATGCAAATGAGGGAGAGAGAGAGAGAGAGAGAGAGAAAGATCTTGCGGTTGGCGGTAGTGGCTTGGTGGGGGAGCGGCGGTGTGGTTTGGACTGGTGTTGGGGGGATGGGGGAGGGAAGAGGGGTGAGGGAGGAGTGGGTGGGGGTGTAGGGGGTGGGGGTGTAGGGGGTTGGGTGTGTGGGGGGAGGGGTGTGGAGAGGGAGAGAGGGGTTAGGGTATGGGGGAGGGGGAAGGGATGGATATGTGTTGGGGGATGTGGATAGGGGATGGGGTGGGGGTGGATGTGGATGTAAGTAGGGGGATGTGTGTGTATATGTGTCTGATTGTGTGTCTGTATGGTAGCGTTTGTGCGTGGATGTCTGTCTGTAAGTATGTATGTTTGTGTGCATGTTAGAATTAGCGTGTGCGCGTGTGTTTCTGTCTATGTCTGATTGCCTGTGTGTCTGTCTGTTCGGAATTATCGCGTACGTGCATTACTGTCTGTCTGTATGTCTGTCTGTCTGTACATGTCGATCGGAATTTGCGTGTATGTATATATCTGTCTCGTGGGGAGTGTGTCTGTGGCAGTGTCCGTGCATGTATCGGCTTGTGTCTGAATTAGCATGTGTCTGTATTTTTTTTTTTCTGTGTATGTGTCTGTGTGTCTGTATATTTGTGTCGCGGCTGTGTATGTGACCGTTTGTGTGTATGTTTGTGTCTGTTAGAGCGTGCCGGTTTGAGAAAGAGAAGAGAAGAGATGAGAAAAGGAAATTGAAATAAGAGAAGAAAAGAGGAGAAAAAGAAAGAAATGATGGAAGAGAACAGAAGAGAAATGAGAGAAGAGAAAATAGAATAAAAGAAAATAAACGAGAGATGAGAGAAGAGTAAAGACAGGAGAAATAAGAGAAGAGAAAAAAGAAGAGAAATAAGAGAAGAGAAAAAAAGAAGAGAAATGAGAGAAAAGAAGATAAAAGAAAAGAGAAATAAGAGAAGAGAAGAGAAATAAGAAAAGAGAAGGGAAGAGAAAAGACTTCAAAAGAAATGTGAGAAGAGGAGAACAAACGCGGCGAATAAAAGAGAATGGGAAAGGGGAAAAGGAGAAGAGAATAAAAAGAGGAGAAACGGCCAGGCAGCGGCGCTCGAGGAAGGATTGGTGTGCGAAAGCAGGAGGAGGAGAAAGAGGAAGAAGAAGAAGAGGGGGAGGAAAAGGAAGAAGAACAGGAGGAGAAAGAAGAGGAAGAGGAGAAGACGAAGAAGAAGGAGAAGAGAAAAAAAAGAAAAGCAGGAAGGAGGAGGAAAAACAAGAAAAGAAGAAGAAAAATAATAGTAATGATGAGAAGAAAAGGAAGAAGAAAAATATATGGAGATTTTCTGCTTCTTGCTGATGAAAGTGACCGGGTTGCAGGCGTCGATATCGGATTGTTGTTAGTTTGTATTTGTTTGTCTTTAGAGGGATCCGTTTGTTGGTTTGTAGTTCTTTGTCTGTCTGTCTGTCTGTCTGTCTCGTTTTATCTGTCTTGTGTCTTTGTCTGTTGGTGTTTTCTATGATTAGAGAGATGTGTCTGTTTGTGTTTGTGTAGTGGTTGACAGGTACTGAGGCTCTTGTTCTTACAAGGATTTGCACTCACACACACACACACACACACACACACACACACCACACACACACACACACACACACACACACACACACACACACACACACACACACACACACACACACTCACACTCACACTCACACTCACTCTCTCGTTCACACACACACACACACACACACACACACACACACACACACACACACACACACTCACACTCACACTCACACTCACACACACACACACACTCACACTCACACTCACACTCACTCTGTCGCCACACACACACACACACAACACACACACACACACACACACACACACACACACACACACACACACACACTCACACTCACACTCATTCACACACAACACACACACACACACTCACACTCACACTCACACTCACTCTCGTTCACACACACACACACACCACACACACACACACACACACACACTCACTCACACTCACACTCACACTCACACTCACTCTCACACACACACACACACACACACACACACACACACACACACACACACACACACACACACACACACACACACACACACACACACACACACACTCACACTCACACTCACACACACACACACACACACACACACACTCACACTCACACTCACACTCACTCTCGTTCACACACACACACACACACACACACACTCACACTCACACTCACACTCATCGCACACACACACACACACACACACACACACACACACACACACACACACACACACACACACACACACACACACACACACACACTCACACTCACTCTCTCGTTCACACACACACACACACACACACACACACACACACACACACACACACACACACACACACACACACACACACACACACACACACACACACACACACACACACACACACACACCTCCAGCAGCCGCAACCACCACTGCAATCCCCCCTCAACCCCCCCTCTCCCTCCTCTCCCTCCCTTTCCTTTACCACCCACCCCCTCCCCTCCCCCATAGACAGACCGAGGACCGCAGTCAGTCAGTCACCCACGCTGGAAAAAAAGACTGCGACCCCACGTCGGATTCAGTGGCTTTTCCCCTTGATGTCTGTCTGTCTGTAGTTCTTTGTGTCTTGTCTTTGTCTTTCTGTCTTTCTATATCGGACTTTCTCTCTTTCTATCTGTCCTTTTCTCTCTCTCTCTCTCTTCTCTCTCTCTCTCTCTCTCTCTCTCTCTCTCTCTCTCTCTCTCTCTCTCTCTCTCTCTCTCTCTCTTTATATATATATATA